AAGAGTAATTGCACCGTCATCAATGAATCCGGTGATGCAGATGTATATATTGCTAAAGCTGCAGTGAATTCACGGTCGTCGATCGTCAGTCTACAACGCTGATGTGAGAAGGGCAGAAGGCACTGACATATTGTTGTGCATTGGTCTGACAAGTGGCCACAAGCAGCCGGTGACGAGATCTAAAGAGCCACTCTCGTCCTCCAGCTCTCGCAGGTCAATCATAGATGAAAAAGTATCTCACGCGTCCAAATCATTTATGCTTTCCAAAAATATTTCTATTCATCAGCTGTGCTTCACCAGGCATTAACGTTAATATTCCTGCTAAGATTGTAAGATTACATGGAAATTTACTATTAAGGGGGGGGGGGAGAGCAGAAACAAATCGACGATTATGTTGTATATTTCAGGTGCCATTTGTCTCGATCAACTGAAGTGTCTAGGACCAGCTGGGGACGAGACTTGTCTCAAAACACGTCCCGCCCTCCTGCCGTCGCAAAGACCATTCAGCCAATCAGCATGTCCGGCGTTGGTGACCACGAGAAGCCGGTGACGAAAAGAACAAAAGAAACACTTTCGCCCTCCAGCTCTCGCTGACCAATCATAGCTGAGGAAGCCTCTCACGTGTTCATGGCTATTGATTAGTTGGATTACTTTGCTTACCAAATGGAAAAGGAAAGAGAAATGCGATGTACATGTATGTATGTAAGTTATACACACACATGCACACCAAACCACTCCCCTCTCCATTTGTAAATATCTTTAAAAGGAACCTGTTCTATAATTTGCGTTGTACAGTGTTCACATTCCTCTAATAACACATTTTAAAGATTAAGTAACAAGCTAGACATCTCATGGAATGCAATAAGGCAAACCTATGCCTATATTAGTACAAATTGGCGGGTACTATTTTCTCTTTACATTCATGAGTTTTGACTGGTGCTTTAAATTGCATGGTACTTCCAACCAGATTACATCTCATGGAATGTCGCAAGGCTTACATTCTTGAATCTTAAAATCTATACCTCCAAGTACGATATGGCGGGGATTTTTTTTTCTTCACTTTACATTCCTGAATTTTCGACGTTTGGAGAATTCGTTAATGCAAAAACAAAAGTTCTCACAACAGTTCTTTTCCAAAATACACATATCCAGGGATTGAACTTTAATATAATATAATTACAGTTTTTGTAAGTATATTTCCAGCTGGAGTAAAATACATCTCTAAACCCACCAAGGTTGCATAGATTTCCACTCAATGATGGAGACTAAGGGGGAGTAATAACCTCTTCCTTCCGTTAACCCTGACTACATTCTCAGATCCATACCTCAATTGTTGATAAGGCATTCCTATTCCCCCTTAGCTTTAAAATGTATACGCAGTTCAAAAGAGACATTTTAATTATAGGTTCACAGGTGTGTTCAGATCTTCTTTTCATTATCTGTTACATAACCATTATAATTACCATTTTCTGTCAACGTTCAATGAACACACTTCTCACAACATCAAGGGAATGTCAACGCCCCTTTCTCAATATCAAAGTGAATTTTCCTTCCCAAACGTAGCCCCAGCAAGTTAAAGGCACCACAATATTTTCAACTATGTCAAATATGAATGCGTATTTTTATATATCAAGAAATAAGGAGTACAATCCATCTTCGTAAGGAGTTGATAATCCCTCAAATTGCATGAACTGTTAGACACGGCCTTTTGTCCCTCAAAATGCTGCCCCTGACGTCACTATATGTTATTCATTTATGTGACTGGTGCTTTAAATTACGGTACATATACTTTCAACCAGATTACATATCATGGAATGTCACAATGAAGGCTTAAATTCTTGATTCGTAAAATCTATACATACAAATACGATATCGCGGGAAATGTTTTCACTTTACATTCCTGAATATTTTACTGTTTGGAAAATGTATTTATGCAAAACAAAAGTTCTCACAACAGTTCTTTTCCAAAATAAACATTTCCAGGGATGGTACTTTTAATATAGTTACAGTTTTTGTACTGCATACTTCCAGCATGAGTTAAATACATCTCTAAACACCCCCATGTTGCATATGATTTCCACTCAGTGATGTAGACTAAGGGAAGTAATGACCTCTTACTTTACTCTGACTTCATTCTCAGATCCCTATAGCTCATTTGTTGATGAGGCATTCCTACTCACCCATAGCTTTAAATTGTATACGCAGTTCAAAAGAGACATTTTCATCTTAGGTTCACAGGTGTGTTCAAATTCTCATTTTCATTATCTGTTACATAACCATTATAATTACCATTTTCTTTCAACGTTCAATAAACACACTTCTCACAACATCATTTATGTTGTTCATAAAGTGCGCCCTCTATTGAGAAACCTTAGTGGTTTTGTGGCCATTTGGACTCCATATTGGATTTTGTGGTTTCCTGAACCACTGCTTAACGTTCTAACTTATCCTAATGGATTCTATGACCCCGAAAACCATAGCATAGACACCCTAATTATATCTTTCGGATTGATAATAAGTGACTTATGGCTTTTTTATGTTATGGCGGCCATTTTGGACACCATATTGGATTTTGTGGTTTCCTAAACCACTGCTTAACGTTCTAACTTATCCTAATGTATTCTATGACCCCGAAAACCATAGCATAGCCACCCCAGTTATGTCTCTAGGATGGATAATAAGTGACTTATGGCCATTTTTATGTTATGGCGGCCATTTTGGACGCCATCTTGGATTTTGGGGTTTCCTAGACCATCACAAACGATTCTTACTTGTCTCAATGGATTCTCTGACCCCCGAAACCATGGGATAGACACCAAAATTATGTCTCTGGGTTGGATAATAAGTGATTTATGGCCATTTTTAGGTATCGGCGGCCATCTTGGACGCCATCTTGAAAATAACAGCTTTCCGAAGCTTCGATTTTGGTCGACTTTTAGTATGTTATTCCTGAGGTCAAATACTACTAGAAACCGTTGAAAAACCTTTTGTTGCAATTTTTTGGTGGTCAAACCATATATTGACCTGACTAACCCTCATGAGAACAAAGTGAAGAAAATTGTACGGAATGTTATTGAGACGACATTGACGGAGACAATCACAATTAATTCGCTAACTAAACAACGAATGTCCATCCGTAATAGGTCCATGATCTCGTAAGCTATACATTATGGTGAAAATTGGGTGAATTTCTGATTGGGTAGATTTTTGTTGGTTAAAAGTTTGGTATTTTCTCTTTTATCCAACACTGGGTAAATCATGCAAAATCTTTAATTTACCCAACAATGATTGGTTGGACACATAATCGCCCTCATGTTTGGTAAAAATTGGGCAATTTTTTGCCCAATATTTTTTAGAGTGATATGTGTTAGGAATTAAGATTGATATCCAAATATTTTCCTTCATCTGGTGAAAACAGCTAATAAACATCCTCAAAGAGTCTTAATATTTCGACTTTTCAAAACTAACGCAATGTAGGCTACACAAAAAGCATGCACTCTAAAACAAAATTGGCCAATTTGTTGGATAAAAAGAATAAACCCAACTTTTAACCAACAAAAAATTACCCAACTAGAAATTCAGCTAATTTTCATCATAATGTGTAGCATATTAGACACTAGTTGGTCAAATGAGTTGTATAAAATATTATATATAAAAGGACATTAGCGCTGCGGCGGGAGTCGAACTGCGGGCCTTGTGATCCATAGTCCTGTGACATCCACTCGACCAACACCTCTAATATGAGAACAAGAACCCATTATGTTCCATAATTGTTGCCCGACTTGCGTTTGCCCAGTAACATCTGCCCAACTACTGTAATTTTGAACATTTCATTGGGTAACTATACATGTAATAAAAAGTTTGGGGAAAATTACCCAAATGTTGAACAAAAATGGCCCAACTTTAATTTGCCCAATAACATTACCAAATTATTTCATCGGTAAGTACTACATGGTTGGTAGAAAATAACCCAATTATTGGACAACATTTGCCCAACATCGAAAAGGAGAATGAAAAGGAAAGGAAAAGAAGAAGAAAAGAAAAAAAGGAGAATAAAAGAAAAGAGGACGAGAAGGAGAAAGGCCAGGAGAAAGAGAACTATAAAATGTAAAATATGACGTAAGGGAGAGCAGGGAGAGAGGAAAATAAAGGTAGAGAAAAAAATGAAAAAGAGAAAAAAAAGCCGTCCCCCGTCAGACACACCCTGCGTTCTTGTTACTGTTAGTTGAACTTAAGACTATTTTCTTTTTAATTTGGCAAAAAGTATGCACCAAATCGAGCCATTTATGCATCAATTTTTAATAAATCCTAACATCTGAGGGGGCACATTCCCCTCAGACACCACTCTGAGTGGCGCGCCCATTCGCCCCATAACAAAATAACCTGGCGCCCGGCCCTTGATCTACCCAACTTATTTTTTAACTTCATATAGTAAATGGTTGGGAGAAAATAACCCGTAGACTTTTGATGGAAATAAATATGTCAAAAAACTACTGCTCTCTCCGAAACCAAAGGGACTATGGTAATCATAGTATCATTTCATCATTGTATAGTTGATTAACAGTGGCGGATCCAGGGGGGCCGGGGCCCCTGGATTTACAAAAAACATGTAGAAACACGTTCATTTTACCTTTTTTTGGAGATCCCCCCCCCCCCCTGCACGCTCGAGGGTGGGGGGGGGGGGGTGCGATTTTCGAGGGCCAAAAATAAAAATTAGTGCTCACTGCCCCCCCCCCCCAACTGATCGAATTTCAAATTTTCGCCTCTAAATATTTTCTCACGAATTGGACCCCTCCCCTGCCGGGGGCTGCCTTGATCCGCCCCCGATTGACGGAGACAATCACAGTGAGTTCGTTAAGAAAACGATGAATGTCCATCCGTGCTATAGGTCCATGCTTTGCATGAGTGAATGCACTGAAAATGTTAAATGTGATTCGTTCGTCTGCTCGAATCACGTGATGTATTTCAATTTAATTAACATGCATTCAAAGAGACCGCGCGCGCGATGACAATAGGTTTCGTGTTAGATGAGAAGCGAGAAATTTGCCATTCTCTGCTAGATTCTGTCCTAGACAAGTCGTTTTGAGATATTTACTTAGCTTTTGCTTCGTTCGTGAATTCGTCGTCTTCGATTAGCTTGCTTAAACCACTGTTATTTCACTTGTGTAATAATGGTCTTTTACGGCAACAAGTTCACCGGGAACTGTGTGATGAATACCCTGGAGGGTAGGCGTTGTAGGAGGAAGGCACCCCTGCCTGTTGATGAAGCGGATGAGTGCTGGCAGCACCGACAGTATGTACAGAGTTATTTTCTAAATTAAAAATGAATTTACCCTTCTTCTTCTCTCTTCTTCCTTTTGAGTACAGACCTCTTTACAGAGTATTATCGTACTATACTGGGGGTGTGCAGGTGGACCACTACACCGGGGTTTCCCCCTACTCTTATACGAATAGTGCAGTGGGTTCTTAACGTGCAAAGGTAGTGACTCTTCTCTAGATCTATACGGCATCTGCAAGAATCTTCAGTATTGAAGGAGGCAGATTATCTTGAATACCTTGAATACCAAAGCTTCTGGAAGAAAGCCGTCTCCAGCTGCCAAGCTTCCAGGTCTAACTTCAAGGGGGGGGGGGATGTCCCAGCTTCCGGGTCTTGCACCATAGTCATTTTACATCAGTATCTTGCTTGCTGGAACATATCTTGAAGAAGAAGAAGAAGAAGAAGAAGGGAAGGGGCACGTTAACACACAACGCAGGTTTCAGTCATCCGCTTGGGTGGGAGTCGACCCTTCAGTGAGTTGAAAGTGATTTAATTTAGGGTCATTCGTTATAGTTACTCTATCGAATGTGTTTAAATTGCAACATATGCATTTAATATTCTCATTCTATTATTGGCAATCTAGTTGTAGTAGATCTAGACCTAGTAATAGTCTATGTCCTGTTTTATTTTTACTTTTTTACAGACAGCCAGCCGAGGTCCAGCTGTGCTCTGCACATATCGGGCTTCATGGGAATGGCAGACGTTGCAGCCGGCGTGGACGTCACTCGCTAGACGAAAACGCCGTTGAACTCTACTGCACGCAACACGGTATGTATTTATTCAAAGTAAATCTCTCACAATTAACTTACATTTTAAAATGGCATCTTGTGGACCATAGACTATATATGTATTTGCCCAGACCAATTAGCAGATCCCGAATTTTCCAGGGGAGGGCCGCATTGCCATTGGTAAAAATAGTAAAAATGGAAGAGTAAATATTGATTCATGATGAAAATATTTTGAAACTAATTACACTGTCCCCCGCCTCCCCCTCCCCCACCCTCCCCCACCCCCTCCCCCTCCCCCTCCTCTCAGTGTTATTTAGGATAGGCGTATATATGCATGTTCCCTCCCTTTGAAAGCACCACCTATCTCCAGGGTGTGTAAAGTCAATTAATACGGGCCGGATTTTTGTGTATGTACAGGCCTTACTTTGTTGCGTGAAAAGTAGCCTACCCCTTTACCAGAGATTTTGGGAACACAAACGCGGTCCGTCCAACCCTATAGCTGTAATCATTGATTGTGTACGTTGGTGCATTTACAGGGGGTATACTAAAGTATTGATGGAGAATCGTCTATTTGAATGTGATCTGTGAAATGCCATGCATGTAGCATGTCCCCATTTATGTTTTCGTTTGGTTTATACAGTCAACAAGTTGCATCGCGAGAACGGTCGTGCGGAGGTCGTTCCTGCTCATCGCCAACAGCAGGATGAACAGCGTAGGAGGGCGGAGGAGCGTGAGCAACTCCACCCGAGACGAAGGTCACCGCGTCTGGTAGAGCGAGAGATCGCAGCTGCCGCCGCTGTTCAACTCGCCGCTGAGAGAGAGCAACGTCGTGCCGCCAATCGGGCAAACCAGAACCTGCGGAGGTCAGCCCGGATTGCCGCGAGGCGAGGCAATGTGTGATAATAGCCTGGGTAAGTTAATTTATTTCTATGCTTTCCTATTTTTAGTATTCTAACAATTCCCACCCCCATAACAAAAAATAACTAAACAGATGACCAATCTAAATATATATGTACCAAACACAAATTTTAATTAAGGACTTGACAATGTGCCAAAACTTTACAACATAGCAGCAACTTTTAATGATCGGCGAGTCAAAATGAACTGAGATCCTCCAAGGTTTCTAAATAGTCTGACCGTTATTTGTCACAATGATATAGGGGTTTTCAAAATTAATTTATCTGAAAACATAATTTTTAAAAATTTATTTTTAAAAAGTTTGAAACAGAACCATCTTGCTCATAATGAAATTAAAGGGGAAGCCCACCATGATATTAAGTGATGAATTTTTAAAGGTGCAATCAATTTATGTTTCAATCAATAACACCCTTAGTATTATCATTGCAAGTATGGTTTTAAGCAACCCCTGTATGATACGTATCTATTCCGTCATCAATATATAAGAAAATTAAAATTTATGAAATTGTCTGTAGCCTACAGAGCAAATTGGAGATGAGCTCACATGATGTCACATATGTTTCACTGATGACAGGTTTAAAATTTGTAACTTTCATATTTTTATTTTCATGCTTTTATTACATTCAACTTAATACAAGGGTGGACCTTCCCCTTTTAGTATGAATGATTTTTTAAACTCACTTCATTCTCCTTTCCTACAGACTGATTCGCAGAAGCAGCAGGGGGGAGACCGAGGGGGGATACTGGGTCGAACACTGCTGAGGTTCTCGGGACGTAAACGCCTTGCTATAGGAGTAGTAGGGAGGAAGCTGAGATGGGTAGTGCATGGTCACTCAAAACCAGACCCGCTGCACTATCGTGGTCAAGAAAGACTGGGTGTGGTCAGTCGAGGTAGACGCCGGAGGCCATTCCCTTTCTTTGACCGCCTGTAGATATTTCCAAGAAGGTATGTCTACTGATCATTATTTTGGCTTCATATGTTTGAAATAGTATTAGTTTTTAATAGCATTATAGCAGTACATGCCAAAACATAGGGAGTCTTCATCTTTGTTTTTTGTTTGCACATGTCCTCATCCAGGCACGTACGCAGGATTTTTTCAAGGGGGGGGTTTTAACATTTATAAATCGGGCCGAAAATTTCGCAACGACTCAGCCAGCCGCTGAATAATCGGGGGGGGGGGGTCTCGAAATTTGAAAATTTGACATTTGGCTCCGTTGGGGGGGGGGGTAAGGTCACTTTTTAGGTCAGCCATTGGAATATTTTTTTTTTTTTTTTTTAATATAAAAAAAAAAAAAAAAAAAAAAAATCCAAAGGGGGGGGGGGAGGGGTTTAGTGGGGTGATGGGGGGATTTACACACATAAAAATACCAATGGGGGGGGGTTTAACCCCCCACCCCCCCCCCCCCCTGTGTACGCGCCTGTCCTCATCATTTTGGAGTGTATACCATTTCTATGTATCTTCTACGTTGAAAATTTTATATGCAGTAAAATGTAGGGCTGAAAGGTGAAAAACATAATATTTTGTCGACATACTCAGAAATAAATCTATTTTGAAATGAATGTATAAACTTGGTATAATCTTTACCTAAAAAAATTGTTTAATTTGTGTTATTTTATTTTTACGATTTTATCTGCCCATCATATTTTCGTTGCGATGCCTAATACAACATTTTTTAAACCTCTTTATTCCACAGATCAGGCCTCACCGTGGGACGCGCACACACGTCGTAAGTATGCAGGTATTTCAATGTCTACCTTGTGATAATTTATTCCTACTCACCAGATCAGTTTACCCAATACCTCCTAGTAGAAGTCATGTATACCTCTTAGGTTTGACATGTTGGTTACTACATTGAGAACTTGTGATATACGTTATACGTTATATTGTTATAAGGGTTCAGAAGTTGTCTTTTTTTTTGTAAGTTTAGTTATGGGTTTTGCAATCATCCATCTCGTAAAAGCAGTTGTACTGATATTTCGTTGTGTATCTTGTAAAAGCTAGACTTGGCAGGAGCTGTCCAATTACCCAGTTTGTAATTAGCACCAAATAACCACTAAATATATATCTGAACATGGAGAGGCCTAGCTAATAGGGATTGTAGAACTTGAGGAGTCACATGAATGCCATTTATCTCCAGTTAGAGATGCAAAACTTTACCTGTGTATCATGAAATACCATACTGGTGCATAAAATAAAATGAATGTTTGAACATGTATCCAATATTTTTCTCATTTTGCACATTTTTTAAAACCAAATTTTCAAACTGCAAAAACAAACTGGCCTATTATAGGATGTGTACTGATAAGGTACTTGTAGACAGAATGAATACTCTTTCATGTGGAATGCACAAAAGAATAAGAACAGAAGATGCCAACAATTAATGATGAACTTACAAAAATGGTTGCAAACTAATGATGAAATACAATTAAAAAAATATCAAATTTAAAAAGAGAAGTAAAATGAAAAATAAAATAAAATGGACAAATAATTACATTGAATAGTATACATTCTTTTTATAAAAAAAGGTTTAAAAATGAAGTTTAAAAGTGTATGTGTGTTCTGTTCAAAGTCGAGATGAGTTACAAGGGAAACCAGTGAACCACTATAATCGTTTATAAGCATCAGTGATCATAAATTTCTTGGTAAAGTTTTACAGTCCCTTAAAAGAAACAACTCAAATCTCATCTTCTCCCATTTGCAATTTCTTTTATTCAAACCTATTTTCTTATACATTATATCCATGTTATGCATATATAGGTTCTACTCATATAAAGCAAATCCCCTTTTGTTTCTCTATTTGTCATGGATTATTCTCAATCCTATCTTTTAAAGGAGTGCATATTCCTGACATGTTTATGTTACCAATTCAAAGAAGAACCACAAAATCACATATGAAGAAAAAAATCTAAGTCACCTCACACCTTTATGTGGCTGGGGTCAAATGAGTTGTTCATTTGAATTTGAAAATGGCTGGTATTTTTGTATTAATTTAGTTTATTATTCATATTTACCAGAGGACATACTAAGCATTATATCAGACAAAAAAAAAATCATTGTGTTCACTATTTTCAGGTATACAGCCCCTGTAAATAGCATGTGTGTTCTCTAATAGGATTTGTTAGACTCTCTGTGAAATGTACAATTTTTTCCTTCTCTTATCTTTCCAGTTTGTATCTTAAAATATATAATTGCTTTTATTGTGGGATGTTTTGATTTTTCTTTTAGTAGGATAGGACTCCTTTTACTACATGTCTTTAAAATATGTAATGTATAGTTTTTTCTGCTTTTCTTCTCAAGTCTCCACTAATACAAATTAATGTTTTAATACAGTAGGCCCTACTTCAAATTTGTCATACCTAATCACTCTCAGTATTGTTTAGCAGCTGTTTATCCTGTCCAATGCTCTCTTTGATTTACCCTTCTCTCCATTGCTGCAGGGATGGTTCTCGATATTGTAGAATTCTCCTAATAGCTCTTTAAATCTTCTAAGAGTATTGAATCTTTCTTTCCATAGGGGAATATCGTATTTCATTCACAATTCAAGGCTTTCGGTAACACTATGTAGTTTGTACACCAAGAATTAGGTCATATGGAAGTAGAAAAGGAAAGGAAAGAAAGGGTGATCGAGATTGAGAAGGTCGTGAGGAGATCGCAAAGGGTTGTAATTTTGAAAAGAAAAGAAAAGCAGTTCCTTTTATTTTTCTACCTATCTTTCCTCTTTCTATTTGTTTGTATTTTTGTTAATGTCTTTACTTTTCTTTTTTCTTGTATCTGTATCTGTCTCCCCTTTTCTCTTTTTTACTTTCTCTTACATGTATATTTTAGTCTTTTATCATCCCCTCACTGACAAAATTCGGACGGGATCTAATAACTCTGCTGTCCGTACGTTTGTAACAAGTCTGATTTCCATTCAATGACTTTAGTAATGTTTGGCGGATTTTAATGAAATCTGTTATGAAGGTTCATGGTATCAAAATACAGCCTAAGTTTGATTTCAAAGTATGTAGATCAAGGGTTAAAGGTTATAGCTTATTAAATATGCAAAATACCCAAATCTGGTTTCCGCTCTATAACTTTTAATTATATTTGATGGATTTCAATGAAAATTGATATGAATGTACATGGTATCAAAATACAGCCTAAGTTTGATTTCAAAGTATGTAGATCAAAGGTCAAAGGTTATAGCTTATTAAATATGCAAAATACCCAAATCTGGTTTCCGCTCTATAACTTTAGTGATATTCAACGGATTTCAATGAAACTTGATATGAAGGTACATGGTATCAAAATACAGAGTAAGTAGGTCAAAGGTCATAGCCAGCGCTCAAATTACACAGGGGTGATGGGCGATTCGCCCCTGTGAGCTACATAATCACCTCCGTCAGAGTGCTCACGGGGGCGATTGCAAAATTAAAAATCGCCCCCGTGGTATTATAGAATAAAGATTATCTTTTCTGTTATAACTTTCACACAATATTGAGTTTCAACTTGATATGTATTTATAAACCTTCAACCAATAAAATGGAACTATGGAAGTTAGATTAGCGTGCCAGATTTTTTGCTCATATTTTTTCGGTGTCAAGAGGCCGCCATGTTGTGAACAAATGTGAGCTTATTCACCGCAAGAGGGCGCTATATTTCCCATCTCCACGTCAGATTCTCTATGACTGTATTACCGGTACAAAAAACAGAAGCTCGCAGTGCAGTGCGACCATCAGCAGCGGCTATACCGCACTGCGGTAGTACCGGCAGGTGTGCTCGCAGCCGCCACATATCTGCTGGAGCTAGAGGCGATCTCGCAAGGACCGAAACAGGGAGAAGTTTTTCGTTGTGAAAAGCGTGAATCCTCTGAAATCTGGTGATTCCAAAAGTCCAGCAAATAATGAACTTCGACCAGTAAATCAATATTGAGAAGGAGAGGAAGACCAAAGATGTTGTGTAAGGATAAAGTAAAGGCTAAAGAAAAAATGTAATAAGGTTGCTTTAAATGATAAGGCCAATAAGGGGAATGTGCAGAACAGGACGAAACGGAGAGAATGTCATCTCGGGATGAAAGTCGACAGTAACCCCTATTTAACTTGTAAAGTTGTAAAAGGGAAATGCTGACTTAAATAAATGTTAATAAGTGGCGGATCTAGGGGGGGGGTACACCCCCCCCCCCTTGGGTCGCAAGTGAAAATGTGATGTGCATGGAAAAACGCCATCATGTGTCCAGACCCAGACAGTATCCGCATCGTCATTGGATCAACCCACCCCCCCTTAAAACTGTTACTTGATTTAAAAAGACATTATCATGCACTGCTGCTCTTTATGATCCCTATTGAGTTAGTAGATGCCAGGGAAAGATCACTTTAATACCGGGGTTCAAAATAGAAACAACAAAAATCGCCTCGCCGCTTTATGGACGATGCTCCGCAGCGTCATTGGGTCAACCCCCCCTTAGCAAAAAGCTAGATCCGCCCCTGATAATGATGAAATAGCAAAGAGTATCATGGGTACCAATTCAGTGGAGAAGGCCCCCGTGAGAAGACTCACAGGAGCTCTTTTTTTTGGAAGAGCCCCCGTGGACAAAAAATTGATTTGAGGTCTGGTCATAGCTCATTTATTATGCGGGGAGAAAAGCTAATTATTCAAAAATTTGGTGTCTGTTCAATAATTTTAATAATGTTTGGCGGATTTGAATGAATTTGATATGAAGGTACATGGTATCAAAATACAGCCTAAGTTCAACTTTGGAGTATGTAGGTCAAAGCTCTTTAAATATGCGAAAATACCTAATTATATATGCGAAAGTGTGGGACACACACAGCGTCTCGCCGACAGCACACCCCACTCATGGAATCAAAACTCCCCCAAGTCCGCACCCCGGAGACTCCAGCCCCGAAGGACAAGCAGACGGATAAGCAGACCACCCATGTCCACTCCCCGATGACGGTCATGTATATTTCTCCCACGTCCGCACCCCGGTGACTTAAGCTCAGACATGCCAGCTATTCTCCACTCCTGATGACGGATAGTCGACCTGTTTGAAACGACTCCCACCACCCATCCTCTCCAACCGCTATAACTCCCCTTAGAACTATAAGCTAAGCAAGATAACCAACAGTATTTTTCAAGACTACACCAACAGTTCTTTTTAGGACTACACACCCTCAAGAAAGATTACCAAGAGTCCTTTTCAGGACTGCTCAATCCTCCCTCTCTCTCACATGGTGCACCCGCAAGCCTACTGTATATCTACATCACTTACAAGCAGCATCTAACCCAGCTCTACGGGGAGCCGACCCAAGTATCATCCCGGCAACTGCAGCGTAACTACGTTAAAAAGGCCAAACTCCAGAATTACCTAACCTTCCTCAAGCGTTGCCGTGACTCAAGCATCACCCCAACCGGACTACTACTCAAATCTTCAATCAGCACTCGACGCGCAAAACTGATCATACACAAGGCAGGACAAGCCCTTGTCAGAGAGCGGATCTCCAACACCGCCATCAACTCCATACCATGGAGCAAGACATCCAAACATCAGAAGTAAACTTCTAACATCTAAACTTCGACTGGAACTGGCTGATCTTCGGAAATACCAGGCCTTCAACACCTCTACAGCTGGGAAAACTTTCCAGTCAACCCCGACAGAAGCAGATCGTCAAATTCAACAAACTTCTAGCCAACAGCCAGAAATCAACCAACCAGACAACATCAACAGGCACCAAGGACACCGTTATCAACCTCAGCAACCATCCACTCATGGAAACCAAACACAAAGTCGTATTATTAGGTCTCAACTTCGCTGTGTCACCCAAGAAGATCCCGTTCTCAGAAGTCATCCAACAAGTAGAACCCAAACTGAGATTCCTGAGCCGAACCGCAGCTGAAAAAAATCTGTTTCCAAGTCACCCAAGCCCTATCCACAGCTAAGCCACCACAACCCAACATTAGCAAACCAGAACGAGCCGCTATCAAAGATCTACGCACTAGCAACGGAAAGGAAACTTAACCAGGGACTCCTCTCTCTTCACAGAACAGAAGTCGTATCCAAGCCACTCTACTTCAAACTTCACTCATCTTCAGCTACCTGCCCCATCCTGTTTGGCCAGCTGAAGATACACAAACCTACCATTCCACTTTGCCCCATCATTTCAACCCAAGGATCGCCTTGCTATGACACAGCCAAACACCTGACCTCGATTCTCCAACCACTCATAGGACAATCGTAGCACCACATCAATAACTCCAAGCATTTCATCAACATTCTCTCCAAGACCACGATACAGACATCATTGCCAGTTTCGATGTTGCATCTCTCTTCACCAATGTTCCTGTCACCGAATCGTCAAAGAACACCTTGAAGCTGACGTCACCCTCCCCGACAGAACTCCCCTGACACTGGATGAAAAACATGACCTCATGTACTTCTGCCTCAACTCAACTTCCTTCAAATGGCGAGACAATTACTACCAGCAACTTCAAGGTGCAGCCATGGGATCGTCTCTTTCACCGGTTATAGCCAACATCTTCATGGAGCACTTCGAAACAACGGCACTCCGCATAGCAGAGGTGACTCAGACCACTTCCTCGCCCACATCAACAAGCATCACCCGAGCATTAAATTCACCATGGAGACCAAGCAAAACAACAGCATCCCCTTCCTAGACATCCTCTTTACCAAATCGTCATCCGGCAAACCCGCTCACCAAGTCTACAGGAAACCAACACACACCGATAGATATCTTCACTACAGATCCTTTCACCATCCATCCGTACTACAATCGGTCTCCAACGCCCTCATCCGCCGAGCCCATCAACTGAGCGATGCCGACCATCTAGACCAGGAAATCCAGCATGTCACCACAGTCCTAACTACCATCAACAAATACCCAAGACATAAGATCAAGAACCAGCTTCAGACGGTTCGAGTCCCGCCGCCGCACTAATGTACTTTGGCAAGACATTGATCTACATTTGCCACACTCCACCCAGGTGAAGTAAATGGGTACCTGGTAGGAATTTCTTCCTTGAAATGCTAGAGCGCCGTATGGCAGCCTTGCTAAAGCCAGGGTAATAATCGGGAGCGCCAGGAGGGTCATATCTGACTGACATGAGCGCTATAAAAGAACCCATTATTACATGAAACGAAGGTGTTAGGTGAAAGCCAGAAGGCAGCCTTCATCATTTCATGAAGCACTACCCCATGGAAAGGAGCCCAGGAGGTACCAACACCCTTGGTATCATGCGCACGAGGACGCACACCATCCGAGAGAACCTCAGGACCCGCCGTTTGAACCGCCTCAACAAACCATCTAGAGATAGATTCCTTCGAGGCAGATGAGACGGGCTCTCGCGTGATAAGAAACGGCTGAACGCTATCAAGGAAAACCAAAACCCCAGAAGGGAAAGGAGAAACCGATCCACCTACCGACTCCTCTCACGGAGGAGTAGCAAGGGTAGTGGACGGTGGGAGTCTAGCCACCAACAAACGGGCAAAGACCCCCAAAAAGACTAACAACAGCACAGAGCTTCTCAGAAGCCGAGCTTAGCAAGACGGGTCCTGAAACAAAAAGGGAACTGGAACACCAAAAAGTGCAACTGATTCCAGTCAAGACACCCCTAGAGCAGGGGCACAGCCCCCACCAGCTCCTTGGGTGGCCTATGGACTTCACAGTTGAAGTCACAATCGGAAACTTGACATCCGAAAGCAAACGCTTCCTACCCTTACGCCGAAACGTTGGGTGATGAAGCCTGCTCAAAGGCCTTACTAAAGCTGGTAGGTTAAGCTACAGGACTAGCATGGTCATCACTACCACGCTACACCACACCTTAGGCTGAGAAGCTTGGTGCTAGAAGCCACCGTGTGACCGGGGGCTCTCTATAACGGGGGCAACTCAACTGAGAACCCGAGGCATATCCGAAGAAAACCTAAAGACTACAGTCAAACCGACGGACTGGGGGCACCAACCCCCAAAGATGGGGTAGGGTGCCGATAGTAGCTGCCCCTGGCGGAGTACTAATAGCAGCAGGAGCTGGAGGCTTAACCCCAAACAAGGGCTGACGGCACATGATGGCAAGCCAACAGCAGCACCAGGCAATCCGGAGAAGCAACACCCAAGAATGAAAAATCAAACCCGAACCCGAGTCAGGTGTGACCGGGGCTGGCTCAAATGCCATCCTTAGCGCGAGGAAGGATAGAGGATCAAACCTCCGCCTGAAACCGTGGCGCCTATCGGTCTACTGACAAGTTCAAGAGGCAAAACATTAACTCCCATAAACATGGTGACAACTTTGACGCCAAAGAACTCAGAGAATACATCTGAAACCGAGTACGGTGTGAACGGGTCTGGTTCAAAGCCAGCCGGGGCACGGGCAGAGATAGGCGCCAAGCCACCGCCCAAACGAGGTGATAAATTTGACCCCAAACTTTGGCGTCTGCCGGAACCACTGGTAGCCCGAGCGTAAAAAATTATAAAACCCCAAAACAAAGCCACCTGAGCGGATACAGAAACGGCTGACTGAACCGTTTGACACCAAACCCTGGCCGTCAGATTACCACTTCACCTCCTCAGCTTCATGGCTGGTGGGACCAGGGCAGTACCGCTTCACCGAAAGACTTAGCGAGTGGGGAGCCTTGGTGCTCCACGGCGGTGAATGGAACCACCTCGCTTGAGAAACTGGGTCACTCCCGAACATAATGTTGGTTGTGAAACCAGGGTCACCTCCGCGCCTGACAGATTTTTGCAAACAACTACGCACAGTCTGCGAGGCCTGCGCCTCCTACAAAGTGAGCCTTTCCGGACAAGTCGGCACGGCTTGTAGCTGTCTTTGTATTCACGGCGACAGCCCTATATAAACTGAAAACCACTCATGGTGGATGAACATAGCCCGACATGGACTGGACCCGGTGGAACAGTAGCCATTTGTGAAAAAGCCCAGAAGCTCCGCCTGAGCGGTACCAGAAAAGGCTGACATTGGCGAAGATTTCTCCTTTGCCCTCTTAGCTCCTGTCCCAGCCGAAACTTGGGTGGACAAGCCCTTCCGCTTCTTACCCGTAGAAACGGGGGACGAATCAAACTTCATGGCCTAAATAAGCTTAGGCTTACGGCAGTGTGACTGCTGCCTGCTCGTTTCAATGCTTCGTGAGGAGCCTCAGCGAGCTCTTGACCTTTGCGTTCCACTTGGGTGATTTCAGGCACCTCAAATGTGGAAGCAGGAATACTGCCGAAATGAATCGGGTGCATCAAACAGGTCAACCTTTGTGCTTGAGTGCACGCTCGTGCTTTGCACGGCTGTTGTATCGCAACAGAGCCAGGGGACTTGAAGCCCAGGGCCTCTAACAGGCTAAGTAACCCCTGCGGGGGAAAGCCGCTTATTAGGAGTCTCTGTATTCGGTGTAATTGAATCACTTGGGTAGACGAGCCCTTCCGCTTCTTAATTGTAGAAACGGGAGACGAAACAAACCTCACGGCCTTGCTAGAGCCTTAGCTCTAGCTTACGGGCGATGTAACAGGGGCCACGAGCTCCACCGCTTCTCTCCCCCCTAAATACGGGGGACGAAGCAAGCTTCACGGCCCGTGTGACCCACGCCGACTCACTACAACGCTTCACAGCAGTGATTAGAGGCACCTCGCTAGTGAAAACAGGGTCCCTCCCGACAAAGTCGGTTGTGAAACCTGGGTCATCTTCCCGCCTGACAGCACGTCTTATTTCCAGACCCAGCCGAAGCTCGGGTGGACGAGCTCTTCTGCTTCTTACCCCTAGATACGGGGGACGAAGCGAGCTACACTGCTGTACTAGAGCTTAAACTTTAGCATTACGGGCAGTGTGAACAGGGCTTCAAGCTCTTCTGCTTCTTACCTCTAGATACAGGTGGCGAAGCGAGCTACATGGCGGCACTAGAGCCTAATCTTAACTTTACGGCCGATGTGAACAGGGCCTCGAGCCCCTCCGCTTCTTACTCGTAGAAACGAGTTGCTTGGGATTCAATCCCCCCCCCCCAGTTACGGCTGTCGTTACCGCCTCACTATCAAGGGGGGTGGGTAAGGGCGTCTTGAGTACATGCTCGAGACAGTTTGCTCCCCGCACCGGGTTTTTTTTGCCTGCTGTGACTGGAGCTTTGCCCTGTAGTAAGTTGCCGGCGGTACTGCATCCGGGCCAGCCAGCGGGCTGCGCCCCAGCGCCAGTACGCCGTGGACTAGAGATTCAATTACACTATAGACACTCCTAATAAGCAGCTCGTCCAACCAAGTTTCGGCTGGGACAGGAGCTAAGAAGGCAAAGGAGAAATCTTCGCCAATGTCAGCCTTTTCTGGTACTGCTCAGACGGAGCTTCTGGGCTTTTTCACAAACGGCTACTGTTCCACCGGGTCTAGTCCGTGTCGGTCCATCCACCATGAGTGGTTTTCAGTTTTTATAGAGCTGTCGCCGTGAATACAAAGATGGCTACAAGCCGTGCTGACTTGTCCGGAAAGGCCAGCTTTGTCGGAGGCGCAGGCCTCGCAGACTGTGCGTAGTTGTTTGCATCAATCTGTGCCGCAGGCGCGGAGGTGACCGTGGTTTCACAACCAACATTATGTTCGGGAGTGACCCGTTTTCTCAAGCGAGGTGGTTCCATTCACCGCCGTGGAGCACTAAGGCTACCCGCTCGCTTAGTCTTTCAGTGAAGCGGTACTACCCTGGTCCCACCAGCCATGAAGCTGAGGAGGTGAAGTGGTAATCTGACGGCCAGGGTTTGGTGTCAAACGGTTCAGTCAGCCATTTCTGTATCCGCTCAGGTGGCTTTGTTTTGGGGTTTTATAATTTTTTACGCTCGGGCAACTGGAGTTACCAGTGGTTCCGGCAGACGCCAAAGTTTGGGGTCAAATTTATCACCTCGGCGGTGGCTTGGCGCCTATATCTGCCCGTGTCCTGGCTGGCTTTGAACTAGACCTGTTCACACCGTACTTGGTTTCAGATGTATTCTCTGAGTTCTTTGGCGTCAAAGTTGTCACCATGTTTATGGGAGTTAATGTTTCGCCTCCTGAACTTGTCAGTAGACCGACAGGCGCCACGGTTTCAGGCGGAGGTTTGATCCTCTATCCTTGCTCGTGCTTCGGCTGGCATTTGAGCCGGCCCTGGTCACACCTGATTCGGGTTTGGGTTTGATTTTTGATTGTCGGGTGTTGCTTCTCCGGATTGCCTAGTGCTGCTGTTGGCTTGCCATCATGTGCCGTCAGCCCTTGTTTGGGGTTAAGCCTCCAGCTCCTGCTGCTATTAGTACTCTGCCAGGGGCAGCTACTATCGGCACCCTACCCCATCTTTGGGGGTTGGTGCCCCCAGTCCGTCGGTTTGACTGTAGTCTTTAGGTTTTCTTCGGATATGCCTCGGGTTCTCAGTTGAGTTGCCCCGGTTACAGAGAGCCCCCAGTCACACGGTGGCTTCTAGCACCAAGCTTCTCAGCCTAAGGTGTGGTGTAGCGTGGTAGTGATGACCATGCTAGTCCTGTAGCTTAACCTACCAGCTTTAAGGCCTTTGAGCAGGCTTCATCACCCAACGTTTCGGCGTAAGGGTAGGAAGCGTTTGCTTTCGGATGTCAAGTTTCCGATTGTGACTTCAACTGTGAAGTCCATAGGCCACCCAAGGAGCTGGTGGGGCTGTGCCCCTGCCCTAGGGGTGTCTTGACTGGAATCAGTTGCACTTTTTTGGTGTTCCAGTTCCCTTTTTGTTTCAGGACCCGTCTTGCTAAGCTCGGCTTCTGAGAAGCTCTGTGCTGTTGTTAGTCTTTTTGGGGGTCTTTGCCCGTTTGTTGGTGGCTAGACTCCCACCGTCCACTACCCTTGCTACTCCGTGAGAGGAGTCGGTAGGTGGATCGGTTTCTCTTTCCCTTCTGGGGTTTTGGTTTTCCTTGATAGCGTTCAGCCGTTTCTTATCACGCGAGAGCCCGTCTCATCTGCCTCGAAGGAATCTATCTCTAGATGGTTTGTTGAGGCGGTTCAAACGGCGGGTCCTGAAGTTCTCTCGGATGGTGTGCGTCCTCGTGCGCATGATACCAAGGGTGTTGGTACCTCCTGGGCTCCTTTCCATGGGGTAGTGCTTCATGAAATGATGAAGGCTGCCTTCTGGCTTTCACCTAACACCTTCGTTTCATGTTATAATAATATAATAATGGGTTCTTGTATAGCGCTCATGTCAGTCAGATATGACCCTCCTGGCGCTCCCGATTATTACCCTGGCTTTAGCAAGGCTGCCATACGGCGCTCTAGCATTTCAAGGAAGAAATTCCTACCAGGTACCCATTTACTTCACCTGGGTGGAGTGTGGCAAATGTAGATCAATGTCTTGCCAAAGTACATTAGTGCG